TTTTTTTTTTTTTTTTTTTACTCACGAGACTCCCATCCCACCACTCCTCTCGATATATCTCCTGGCGCACCCGCACTCCATTTCTATCTTACCTCATGCGAGGAACATCACTCTCTACTGGAGCAACCTGACAAGACAGCGGACGCGGGCACCGACACTGAATGAGCTCCCCCATTCAGCCTGAGTTGAGGCACTAGCGTACAAGCGTCGTTATACGGGAACCTCGGGAGCTAGGCACATAGTTCTCAGCTAGTCCCGTGAGTAGTGAGGGCGCTCATAGGCAGTGTCTAATGGTCAACTAACCAAGGTCTTAACCTATGAGCCCCTCTAAGCACTAACCTAGCACAGCCCGGATCATATATGTTGACTGTTAGTTGTTGAGTATGCTGGTTGTTATGTGAGCTAATGTGATATCATAGTCTATGTGGATGTGTGTGGTTGCTTTTTGCTACTGATGAGCCTTGCTTATGTCTGTTCGTTAGGGAGAATCAACCCGGGGTAATGGTGGAGACCTCGACCGTCGTCTAACAACTACCCCCAACCTACCTCTGATAACCCACCACCCCGAAATGGGTCTACAGACATTGAGGGTAGGACACACCTCTTGATTCGACATTGGTTTCCCTACAAGGCACCGCTCCCCACCATAGGACTGCCACGGTATCACCATGCACCCAACCAACCCCTTACTACTCACCTGCCCAAGAGAGTGCCATCCATCCCACATCAACTTTCCCGCCGGAAAGGCACATGTCCCCACCCGAAACCATGTAGAGGATCATCCCTTAGCTGATATGATGAATGAGCATAGTCGGAGTCGAACTCAGGACCTCCAAGTTAGTATATCAGAGCTCTACCCACTGAGCTATTGAGGTCGTTAGTCTGTAAGGGCGCTATGCCAGGCTTGGGACAAGTACGTGGGGTGCAACTTTCACCAACCAATTGTGCTCAGGGGAAGTTGTGGGTGCTTACCCTTAAAGAGTCTGTCATTTCTCAGCCTCCAAATTACACTCATGATTGCTGATCTCACAGCTTTAGCGATGTAACCCCAGCCTTTCCTGAATGAAACCTTGGGAGGTAAGATCCCTGTCATCACGATATCTTCATCCTTCAAGAAATACTAGATTGTGTTAGATCGATGATCTGGGCTGATTGGAGGAGAAGAAGAGGCAGACGAACGAGATACAAGTGGTTCTTTGGGACCTGGGGTTTGGAAGGAAGACTGGTCAGCAGGAAAGCGAACGGTGGCATGTCCCTCACTCCGTGGTTGCTGGGGCCCAGACCCCCGTGAGCGGTCAGGGAAGCTAGAGGGAGAGGTATTACAAGTTTTAGGAAAGGGAGAGCCCCCGGAACGCTTGTTAACTACCACAGGTTTTATTATAAAACACTTATGAGAGTTGTTTGACACCAGAAAGGAAAGCCTGGCTTTCCAGATGTCTGAAACAGGATTTCACACAGATCATCCGGAATCTGAGTAACAGGGACACAGAGTGCACGAAGGACAGGTAGAGCACAGTTAAGAC